AATAGATAAACAAAAAATAAGTAAATAAATAATAATAATAATAGATGAACAAAAAAAAAGTAAATAAATAAATAAATAATAATAGATAAACAAAAAATAAGTAAATAAATAATAATAATAATAGATGAACAAAAAAAAGTAAATAAATAAATAAAAATAAGTAAATAAATAATAATAATAATAGATGAACAAAAAAAAAGTAAATAAATAAATAAATAATAATAGATAAACAAAAAATAAGTAAATAAATAATAATAATAATAATAGATGAACAAAAAAAAAGTAAATAAATAAATAAATAATAATAGATAAACAAAAAATAAGTAAATAAATAATAATAATAATAGATGAACAAAAAAAAAGTAAATAAATAATAATAATAATAGATAAACAAAAAATAAGTAAATAAATAAATAATAATAGATAAACAAAAAATAAGTAAATAAATAAATAATAATAGATAAATAAAAAATAAGTAAATAAATAAATAAATAATAATAGATAAACAAAAAATAAGTAAATAATAATACTTACACATGGCATAAATATCCAAAAGCCAATAAGTCGATCAATTATTCGCCTCCATAATGTATGATTAAAAAACATTAAAGGTAGAAGTGGTATAAGAAAATACATTGAACTTAATATCGCAGAGAGTAAAATAAACACACAACAAAATACACCCTTAATTCTCATCCATATTGTTATATGTGTTAAGTTTGCTGGTTCACCCATTTTTTTTTTCTTTTCAAATTTTTGCCTGAAAAAAAAAAAATTTTGTTTTTATTTTAAAAGATAAACAAAAAATGAAAAATTACTTCAAAATAATAAAATTATTATCAAATTTTTTTTTTTATGGCTAAAAGTTTTTTTAGCAAAAAGCAAAACAAAAAACAAAAAAACAAAAAGATGAAAGAATGATTGAATGATAAAATTAGTTTCATTATTATGCAAAATTTTTTTGTTTTTTTTTTTTATATTTATAAATATCAACTAATAATCAATTATTTTTTGTTTTATCAAAAATTTTTTTTTTTAAAAAAAAAAGTTATCATTTTATATCAAATATCAAAACAATAATATCATTTAATTATTGAACTTTCTCTATTAAACATTTAAGCTTTAATTTATTGATTTTGAATATTATCAAAATGGAAAAAAATCCATTTTGATAATATTTTCGAATTTGATTTACAAAATAAAAAACACTGAAAATAATTCATAAAATTTTTTTCCATTTTGATAATATTTTCGAATTTGATTTACAAAATAAAAAACACTGAAAAATAATTCATAAAATTCTATCATTTTTAATATGAATATTTAAAAGTTATTTTCAAATGAATGAATAAATATAAAATGGACAAATGTTATCAAAATAATTATTTACATAAATGAAATTTGAAATTATAATGATTTAAAAAAATTTTTTTGTTAAAGAAAAACATGATTTCTATATAGCTAAAATGTTATCGATATATTAAAATAATTTAAAATTTATAATTATAAGTAAAATAAGAATGATAAATGATAGAAGTAGAAAATACAGTGAAAAATTTATAAATAATAAATGAAAAAAATAAATTGAAATAATAAGCAATAAGAAATTTTGATAAAGTATGCAAGATACTATCCTTTGCTAATTTGATTATTAAATACTAAAAATATTTTCCAAAATAATTTTATTTCATAGCATTAAAAATAAAATAAAAATAATAAAAACAATAATGTAAAATAAAATTGAAAGTTAAAAACAAAAAGAAATAAATATTTTAATTTCCTAATTAGAAAATCATTATAACAATTAATGTTGAATGTGTCTTTAAGAGAAATAAAAAGATTAATTAACTGTTATTAAATGACAACTGCTTACTTAAATGATAATTATTTACCTAAAAAACAATAAATAAAAACAAAAGCTGGAAAAAAATTAATGAGACATTAAGTTAAATGATAATAACGAATGCATTAAGATAAAGTTAAATGATAATAACGAATGAATTAAGATAGAGTTAAATGATAATAACGAATGAATTAAGATAAATCTTAATTAAGCTAAATGATAATAACGAATGAATTAAGATAAATGTTAATCAAGATAAATGATAAATGATAACAACGAATGTATGCAACATTATTATTCGATAAGTAATATCACTTAAGTAAATAATTGTGATTGAAAGATAATCGATTCAATTATTGTGATCGACGATAATATTATAACATTATAATTATATGTAAAATAATTATTGTTTTTTTTTACAATCGAAGATTTAATCAACTAAATCGATAAATAATTGATATGAAATAATGTAAATTACACACGTTATACACGTACGTACGTATATACGTCATTAATCTAAATAAATTTCAAAATTCTCGAGAAAGAATAAAGGAAAGAAAAAGAGAGAGATCATAGGAATAAATCAATTCTAACATTTTCTTTTGTATTATTTCATCGTATTGAAGAAATTAAATCATTTCGTACAGTTCTCAATATGAAAGATAGGAAGAATTAGAATAAAAAGATATTCTAATGAGTTTTTTACTAAATTAAATTATTAAATAAAAATTATTAATATGAATTTAACTAAAATAAACTATCAATTAAAGATTAATAAAACAAACATTCATAAATTAAAAATGACAAATAAGAATTTAATAAATTTCAAATATTTTATCATATTACTATCATTATTTTTACATATTTTCTAGTTTAATCTTTTGTTATCTTTTAGTATAATAATAATACGAAATTTAAATATTAATAATAAAAAATAATAATGACAATAATAATAATAATAATAATATAATCAATTTTAGAGGACTTTAAAAAATTAAAATATTTCAAACAATTAATAGATATTTTGGTTTGCTCATTTGATAAGAAAACTTTTGGTAAAGACTAAAATTTTACACAATTATTACAAAAAAAGATGTAATAAAATGATAGAATTGTTAATCATTAATGTTTAGAAAAAAAAAAAAAACGATTTCTCATCTGTTTTATGATAAGAATATCCAACAGAAAAAAAAAATCTTATCAATAATTCATCTTATCAGTACTATTATATATAATCAAAGCTTTTCTACTTTTAGTATTATATTTTATGTTTACCCATTTCATACTATAAACTTAACTCATATGTTTACTATTTTATAAACTTAATAAATTAATGAAAGACACTTACTTGAAATGAGTTGAAAGTTATCAATTGTAATTGATTGAAGAGTTAGAAATTCTGATTGATTTGATAAATAAGAAATAGAGAGAGAGAGAGGAAGAGAGAGAGAGAGAGGGAGAGAGAGAGAGAGAGAGAGAGGAAAGAAGAAAGGAATTGATGACACACACAACAATTCTAAAAGAGTTTTTCAATAACAGATAATGAACAAGAAATTGAAATGATTAAATATAACATCATCTCATCTCTTACTTCTTTTTTTTCTCTCTTAGGAAAAATTCCTTTTTTCTTTTTTCATTAGAAATTTAATGCGAATTGAAAAACAGAAAAAAAAAATATTAGAAATTTGAAGGAAATTTGTTTTTTATTTTTTAAAACAAATATTATACTTCTAAATTATAGAAATGTAAACAAATAAGTATAGTATTAAGCTATTATTATTAAGTAATACTAAGCATAAACTTTTTTTCTTGAACTTATCGCACTGAAACAGAAAAAAAGTGTTAAAATTTTAACATCAGCAATATTTGATTAAATTACTATGTGCATAAATTATAAAAGAATAATTACCTAACCAAGAGGTAAATAATGATTATTTTCTAATTATCGCTCATATAAATTAGTAAATCAATGATAGATAAGTAAATTATTTATGGACAAATTCATTTATGTGATTTAATTAATAATTTCGTTCACATTCCTTTAATTCAACATCTTTTAAAAAATCTTAAATCATTAAACCATTAGCATTCCTAATAATATACATCAAATGGAAATATATTTTTTATGAATATTTCGCACACTAAATGAGCTATTCAAAAATTACTCAATATTTTTAGGAATAAATAAATAATAAAAAATTTGTTTACAGACAAGTCAATACGTCGTAGACGTAAGTAACACGTCATAGACGGTTTATCTTACGTAAATTAATAATATTTTATCGTACATTCACACACATATATATATAAAATCTCCTAACATACAATTCAAATCAACGAAAATGTTAAAAGTCCTGTGTTAAAACATCATAATACAATTAAAAAAGATGAATAAAAAAAAGTAATTTTTAAAAATTTATAGCAATATTATATTTAACAAAAAGAAATGGTAGAATATTAAAACTTTCAATGAATGAAATATTTAAAACATTTTAACTTTCAATGAAATATCTCACAAACATTTCAAGTTTCAAATAAAACTAAGTTTTTTTTTTGAAATTTGAATAACATGATAAACATAAATATTCAAAGAGCAATATGTACTAATACAATATAACTTCCTAACAAAAATATTTACAAAAACAATTTCAAAAAAAATATTAAATATTTATAAGCAATTATGCTAATAAAAAATTAAAGAAATTAAGATAATGAGATCATATATATTTAACACAATAAATGTATAAATGTGAATTTTGAAAATGACTAAATTTTTTTTCTCACATTTTTCAAACTATTTTATTTCGATTCGTTGCTAATAGTCAATATTTAGTTGCTTCAGATTAGCGTAACTCACATTTAATGTTCAGCAAAATGATTTTTTTTTTAAATGGTATAATCATAGGATAAATGACTAGAATATAAGATGAAAAAAACTGATAGATGAATGTAGCACAAAAATAAACAAAAACAAAAAAAAAAAAAAAAGAACGAAAAAAAGAAAAAACCGAAAGGTTATGTGATTCTGCTGATTTCAATGAAAGAAGTACTATTTTTTTTTTTTTGAGGTATAAAATATAAGAAGCAATTTAAAATTTTTATTCGCTTATTGTTGCTTCTGGTAATATTACTGTTATTGTTGTTGCTTCAATTACCATTATTGTTGACGTTGTTGTTGTTGCTGTTGTTGTTTGAATAGTTGTATAGCTAAATTTTGTACACCAGCATATTTCCAATGACAATAAACATAAAAAACACAGGCAAAGAATACATAAATCTTGACAAATAAAAAATAAACAATAAAATAAATCCATATTATAGACATCGCTATCCAAAATGAAAGAGCACAATAATAACCAATGCCTGTCGAATGAATCTGAAAAAAAAAAATGCTTTTATAATTTTTATTTTGAATATAATCTGATGACAGTAAATAAATAATTCGAGTAAATATATCATACTTATTTCATGTCATCTTTACTTTATGATACTCTTATTTCTTCATTAAACTTTCATACCTATCATTTAAACCAAGGAAGTGATTTATTTTTATTAAAATCTAAACTGAAATCTCTACCATTAGTTTCAGTTAAGAAGTTTTGATTATATTCTGACCTGTTTTCTTCCTATTATCGAAAAAACTAAACATTCCAGAGAATCACACAGATAAACAAAACTATTTTGACAAAAAACAATAGAAAAAAATGCTAACCGGCCAATTATTCTTCGTACTACTAGATGGTAAGAATTTTCTGTTGGCGACATCAGCTTTGTAAAAATTTTTGAGTCGATCCTCCTTTTCTCTCCAAATATTATTAAGCCAATTAATCAAACCAGTGTTATCTTGAGGTAAATCATTTTCATTATATCTTTTCACATCAAAATGTACAGCATGCGGAAAGCGACCGTTTCGAAGTATTTCTAATTCTGAACTGATAATCTCATCCGGATAGCCAACTGTTATATCGTAAACATTCTTTAGATAACTTTCTGCAGCAAAAGGAAAAAGAAAAGTTGATAATCTCTCTAGAAATGATATGTTGATGTAATAATTAAAAGAATCGTTTTTTTTATCACTAAAATATATTACACAAAATTTCTCTTAAATGTTGAAAAAAAAAAATAAACTAACTTTGACGCATTACTTGTATCATATATGAAAAACCCGTCGTACGAGGATGCAAAACAAAGTGATATAATGGTAAACCGTGTTGCATTGCAAATTGGTCACTATTCTTTGCAGCTCGTTCACCACGATCTGTTCCTTCCGGAAAAAGTAAAATCTAAAAAAAAAAAAAAATTTAAAAAAATCCGTCGCAGTCATTTAAGAAAAAGGAAATATTCAAGTTCAGTAGCAAACTCAACAATGATATTAAAATACATTAATTATTAGACAAATATATGTTGAAATTAACAAAACAGAAAATTAAATATCAAACTAAGATCAACTATAAATGAATCTATTTATTTCTATAAATGAAAATTCCTTCATAATCTTCTCTTAGATTTAGTCAAAATAGCGTCTATTTCTAATTAATGTATTTTAGTTTAATTTTTTAGAACAAATAGAATTAAAATATTTCTTCATAAGCAAATAAAATGAGAACTAGAAAATGTAAGATTAATTATGAATGACGAAAATTAACCTGATAATGACGTCCCAAATCTTTGTAATACGTGATCATATCACTAATAGTATGCGCATCATTTTTGTAATTACGTTCCAGGAACAAATAAGCAGCGCATTGCATTGCCCATCCTAAATTTTTGGAGAATTTTCAAATCCAAAAAGAGAAAAAATTTATTTATTAGAAGAAGAAAAGACGCAACAAAAAAAAAAGATAGCAGAAAAGAATCAATATAACATGAAAATTAATTTTAAAAAATATTATTAGAGATATCAATTCTTCTCAATAAAAAAAAAAAAAAAAAACTGCAAATTTAAAATTTAATTTTCCAAGCAGAATTTTCATAAATCAAATCAACAATCTTTAACAAAAAAAAAAAAGGAACCTGCACCAGGAATAGATTTCAATGGTTTTTTCAATGATATTTTCTCAGTTGTAAGTAACCATGGATTCATTTTGTAAAGTGCATTCCAAAAGAACAACCAATCAAGTCTTGTTCTATGATTCATGATAATCAATGCTGGTTCAGAACAACTGATCATATCGCCAGTGATATGAAATTTTACTCCCAAAATATAATCACACAATGACTGAAAGAGAAAAAACAAAACACATAAGATAAAAGCATAATTAATGAATATAAAGTATAATTGATGATAATTAGAACATAACTATAATTAAAATTCATCCTAGAAATTTTATCCTAGTAGTTAAAAATATTTAATATTAATATTTAACATAATTTAACATATAGTTACAGGAAATAAATAGATATAGGTTAATGTTGTCTAATAACTTTCTGAAAACAAAAATGCTAAGCTATTGTTTATCAGTATAATCATTATGCATAAGATGAAATCATTCTTGATTACTGATATGATAAGCATTGTTACAAAGTTATCACATCAAAATTTAAATCCAAAAAAATATTTTTTTTTCCTTTTTTTTGATAGCTATTGAAATTTATTGATATTGAAATAGATATTCAAATTTTCTAGTTCAGAGAAAAAAAAAACACTTTTTTCGGAACTTACCGAAGGTAAAATTAACCAATATCCAATAAAACAATCAGCAAATATACGCCATAAAGAAGGAGCAAAATATATGAGTGGAATAAATGGAAAGAGAAGAAATATAGAGCCAAGAAATGATGATAGAAATAATAATAACCAAAAGAATAAACCTGTTAAATTTGGTAAATTCATTGTTTATTAATTGGAAATGATAATTATAATAATTGATAAAACACCACAACCACATTGTTAGCCATTTTTATTGTGACAATAACACTTTGCATCCTGAAATTTCATTAATTTTTAAAATTATTGTATAAATTAATCTAAATAAAACATAATGTTTTTGTTTTTGGTTTTTTTTTTTTACTATTAAATATTTGATAATTTTTTTTTTTAGGAAAAAGAAGAAAAAGGTCCGAATAACATAAAAAAGAAAAAAAAAATTAATTAAATTGTTAGAGAATAAAGCACATATTTGCAATTAAAAAAAAAAAAAGTCACATGGAAAAGTATTTAGTGCAACTTTTTGCTACCGATTTATTGACATGCGCTATTTTCGAATGAAATAATCCAATTCATTTAAGTATTTCAAATTTTGAATTTTGCTTCTTTCGATAAAACCATTTAATTTTCCATGCTCAGCTAGAATATATTAATTAGTATCCCTTTCATTAGTTCGACATTAGTTCATTAGTATAAATCAAATATTAAAATTTCAACTACTGTGAAAGAATTTTACAACAAAATTAACGAGATGCATCTTATGTGAACACTAACCAATGATTATTCCTCATTTTTATCCCTCTCTCTCCCTTTCTCTCTCTCTCCCCTCTCTCTCTCTCTACCTCTCTATTTCAATTATTATTTGAAATTGATTATTTGAATATTTCTACTACCTCCCTTCAACGATTATGTACAATATTTCCATCAATTCTGACAATACTACACACTTCTAAAGCTTACTGAAATTACTTATCCTAAATCCGTTTTCCTTAATTTCCGGAAAAATTATTCTCCAAACAATCATTACTATTCTTACTCTTATATTATGATAATGCATCCATAAATAATTGAATAAGAATTTTAGCAGAAAAGCGAGTAAAGAATAATGAAATATGTATGAAAATAGCTCTAGTTGTTTTCCTTTTTTTTTTTTATAAAAGATTAAAATTAAAATATTTATAATATTCAGTTGAAATGATTATTAAGAAAAAAAATACCTAACAACAAAACACATAAAATATACAATTTATTATTAATTTCACAGAAAATCAAAATAAATATATTACTTTTACATATTCACAATTTTACATTATTTACTTTTATCATTTTTCTCATATGGCATTACCATTTTCCAAGAAACATTTCAACCTGCAAATAATTTTTTTGTTTTTTCTTATAATTCATAAATATCAAAAATGTATTGGTTAAAAAAGATAGAAGAAAGAGAGAGAGAGAGAGAGAGGAAAAAATTCCACCAAACTAATTATTATCGTAATGCTTTGAAAAAATATCCATCTCTTCTCAATTGATATTAATTTAAAGAATGAACCAAAATAATTAATTACAAACAGGATGAAATGCTCATTACACCAAAATTAATTCAGTTATATTTTTAAATTAAACATCAGTTTTGATTAAATGATATGATAAATGAAATAAAAACAACAAAGATTAAAATTAAAACAACACCAGAACTTAACATCAGCTGGAAAAAGGATGACAGAGAGAGAGAGAGAGAGAATGAGGGAGAAAGAAAGGATTTTAAGGCATTGTGTAGATGAATGACATCATTAGCACTTTTTAAATAAATATTGAAATTATCAAATGCATAACAAATTTAGAAATATTATTATGCATAGTGCTTAGCTATCATCAATGTTACAAAATAAATTCGGAAAAAAACAAAACAAAAGTTGGGATAAATGACAAAAATTATTAATGATAATAATAACAACAACAATTTATCTACGTGTCAACAATAATTCATCGAGGTGTCAACAATCTGTAATAGATTTCATTGAAATCCATCTAATAACCTATTCAACTGCTTTTGCATTTACCTACCTATTTTTTCATTTACTTTAATCAACTCTAACAACAAACATATAAAACACTAAAATATTCTAGTTATTTCATTTAAATTGGAAAGAAATCGATCCATAACAGTCTCAGATAAAATTCATCCAGTAAACAATATCAAATTCCTAACTTCTACTTCAATATAAATAATCACACTACGATTATTATTACTGTGATTAAATCATAATATTAATCAAATTGTATGACAACAATTCAATAGTAAGTTTCATCTTTTTCCAGCTGATACAAACTTATAATCCAATTTCTTATGCACAAATCTAGATATATTTTACAGAAATATTCAAATTAAAAAAAAAAAAAATCAATGATACATTAATTATCACCAGAACGAGTGCTTTTATGAGGTGGTGAATGGCTACGAGAATTCGCACGTACGTTATAGAATCCATGCGTAATCGATCTTAATTTAAATGCGTTCTTTGATAATTGCATATCTTCCGGTACTTTTGATCGTTTTTTCTTTCTCAATTGTTGCATATTAAATTCATCCTTTTTAATTTGTGCCACAGCCGAACAGGTAAAATTTCGATCAATAATTGTTGATAAATGAGAATTCTTTTGCGATATGTATTGCATGTATGGATTGCTAATATTAATAGTTCTAAAAAAGAAAGAAAGAAGTAGTATCAATGAATAAAACTTATTATCAATTTATACTAAACTATTTTGAATATAGCAGAAAAAAAATATTCAGTAAAATCAATGCAACTTTCAAAAGTACTAAAAAATTACAACATTTATTTTCAGCATTTTTTGTATATTCATGTGCAAAATAACCTTGAATCAATCTGAAAATGTTTGCTTAGACATAAAACTACTGTTCAAATGTTAGAATATTTTTTGAATTTTTCTTTTTTTAAAAGTATTTTAGTGAATAATTACACTTAAATACTTCAAAAGACTGAGACTTTTATTAGTGGAATTCATATTAATAAAAAGCAACAATACTATTGAACGATTTTAGTGCTCAATATTCTACTCGCAAAACAAAAAAAAATGAAAGTTAAAATAAAGAAAAAAAAAATTTCAATATCTACAAAGAAAATCGTATATAAACAAGACTAGCAACTCAAAACATATCCTTTACTGAACTATAATCGATATCGCTCATAATCTTTTGCAAGAGAAAATTCAAAATTTCAAAATACGATTGCATGAATATAATATTTATGAGGTATCTAAAATGATAAACAACTCACTGATTCAACTTCATTGCATTACTTTTATCTCTACGATCAAATATCGCTGTCAAATTTCCAGATTTCTTCACTGACTGAAGACATGACACTGAGAAATTGTCGTCGGCATTAAAACAAGGAATGAACAATTTGCTGATTGCTGCATTGCATTTCGATGAACTTTGCTATAAAAATATATGAAAATTATATAAGTTAAAGTAAATTATCAATCTATAATATCTAAAGTATCAAAACACTTTTTCTTAAGAAAATACCAACAAGTAATAGTGACGTGAGATGATGTTTATATTAAGAATTAAAAGCATTTAAGAAATTTAAATAAAAAAAGAAAAGAAAATACAGCACATATTTATAAAATACAAAAAAGGAAAAGTTGCAGTTGTTCAACCTCACCCTATTTGGCGACAAAATGCTATTAAAAGATCTATTTCGAAGAGGAAAAGTGTTTGCTTTGCTCAATTCTTCCTGAAGAATAAATTCTTTTATGAGATCAAATAATAAAGAATTACAAACATTAACAGCTAAAATTCTTACTTTAAAAGATCCTTCGGTCAATCTTTTCTTATTATATCAAATACTATTTCGAATTTTGTTCAGAAATAATACAAAAAGTTAAGATAATTTATCAAACTAATGCTATTACATAGTTAATGCTCACGAAGAAAAACCGATTGATATTTATTTTCTCTCAAGGGACAAAATTATTTAAATTTGTCCATGTTACATAGGAAACCTTTTGAAGAATCTTTCTGCTACAAAAATAATTACAATAATTGTTATGAAGATATGAAAAAATAAATATTTTACGTTATTGTCTTTAGATGAATGATGCTGCAAATCAATCGATCCTAAATATGAATACAATTAACAATTTTCATCTTTACTTTAACTTTTTTTTTTTGTTAATATATCCAGTAAATTTCTTCTTCTTTATAACATTCATAGCACGTCTCCTTTTTCCTCCTAAGTTATATCCAAATTTGAAAACATACCTGATGCATCGGCAATCCCACTAATGTCTTCAAAATATTTCAAATTTTGCTCATAATCCGTAAATGAGCTATTCAAGTGCTGCAACATCCCACGATAGTGCTGTAAATTTGTAGCCAATGAGTTTACATTCCTAAAAAAAAAAAAAAAAATTTAAATGATCATCAAAAATCTTAATAAAAAAAAAGGAAACATAGATGTTTATTTATTTTCCGAAAAAAATTTGTTTGCTTCAAGAAAATAATAACTGTATACAACCTTCAACATCTTTCTGAAGTAAAAAATCAGCAATAATAATAATAATGCAATAATCAGAAGATTTTGCAAAGATTAAAAAATAAATAAATAAAACTAACTTCCCCAAAAAATCGCAGATCTTCGCAGTTTCCTTGCATCGATCAGCTATATCATCCATATGTTCGTGCTAAAATCATAATGACAAAATATTTCCAAGATTTATGAAGAAAATACAGCATACTTTATACTATGATTTAAAAAATTTTTGAAATCGACATTTAAAAGAAACGATGTAAAATGAGTGTGCCTGCGAATAAAAATTAGGCTAATCTTCTTTATGTGTTGAAAGTTACCCAATTTCCTAAATTATTACAAATGTGCAATTTTTTTTTTTTTTTTTCATTATTACCATGGAAAACAGATGTTTACTATAATTATAAATACTAGAATACATTTCAATACCTGGAGAAGATAGACTTATTAGGCATATATTCTATCCAATATCTGTGGTTCTTGCAAGTGCTGATTTTGAAGGATGTAAAATAAGTAACAATTCCTTAATACTCTTAGTAGTTGATGAAATTTAATTTGATTAGCTTTGATTACAAAGAAGAGAGAACTTTTCATCAGAACATAATGCTTTCATCAAAAAAGTTCCAAATCTCTTCTTAATAGTATAACTAGAATTAAATGATAAGCTATTTGGTAACTCTAAACTAGGGAATCATCATTATGGTAAATACTGTCAACTTGATAATGCACAAGAAATCACCAAGATTAGTAATAAGAACATTTCTGAAAAAAAAAAAAAAAAAAAAAACCACACCCTAAAAAAAAGCAAAAACTTACCATATTGCTCACATTTTTTTGCATTATTTTGTACTGATTCTGCTGGAATTTAATAACTGAATTTACCTTTTGTAAGGTGTTCATCAGTAAAGTATTAGGTGCCTGAAATTATATTTATTTTCAGTTATAATTTCTCCAAAAAAAAAAAAAAATTTAACTAAAGTAAAAAAAGTTAAAAAGTTGACCAACTATGTGTCATTCAAATACTAACTTGGAAATATTTTTTTGTTTTCTCACTCATATGACGTCCCACATCTTCATAAACAAAAGGTGAACGTTGACACACCATACACATCTTCCTTGATACTATAATCATAAATAAATTCATTTGAAGGAAATTTATTTGATTAATTATAATTGATGACAAAATATATTCAATATTCAGTTACTTTTAAAAGAAGCATAATTTTCACTATTGTAATGACAATTACCTCACGCATTATAGAAAATTTTTATCCAACAATTAATTTTAATTTTTTGCTTTAACACATCACAGGCTTACTGCGTTAGTTAACAAAATTAAATAAATATGTAGAAAATAAATAATTCCATTTGGATTAAAATAAAATGGAAAAAAAAAAAGTTTCATTTTGAACATAATCAGAAGATAATGTCCCGGTGAGAAGGAATGCTGAAGAAGTCAAGTTAAAATTAAAAAGTAAACCTATTAGGATTAAAATAAAGTGATATCATAACAAGATGTAAAAGTAAAAGGAGTAAAATATTCCGTTAATATTGTGTCTAAAAAATAAAATAGCTCCAATTGAAAAACAATCTGAAATGATTTTGCAATAAGAAAAAATAATGGATATAAATGTTTAATAATATTTGTAACATATACCATTTTTCTTTTATGAATGATAGAAAAAATATCCATAACGAACCACATTTATCACGACACGTAGAGCAGAATATATGTCCACAATTAGCAAGCGCAAAAGTTTCATTTTTGTTTATATTCTGAGCAGATGCAATCAGATAGCAATTATTACAATGCATCCATGATAACGCCATCTGAAAATATCTAATTAAACTAAAAAGAAAAAAAAATTCTCATACAAAATATGCGATCATTTGATGCATCGTAGTAATTTCACAAATTATTAATATTGTGATATTACTATGTAAGTTTTTGTAATACGACTAACACCAATAATTTAATCTTCTCCAAAAATTATACCTCGCAACAACATGAAATATTTAATATTTCATTTTATACGCTCTAATATATCGTGTATGCATTGTGCACTAAAACAAATCTAATAAAAACAATTTTTTTCTTTCTAGCAAACTTTAATTCCAAATCCTTTCAGTCACTGTATCCTTCCCATCGATATGAACTCAATATCTATCACCTAGATATAAATAATCTTCGTAGCATAACTGATAAACTGAATACTTAAATTTTTTTCAAAAACCTTTCTGTATGATGTACACTGTGTAAAGAATACACCGTTACTCGGCTAGAAAAGTAACACAAATATATTTTAATTTTATAAATAAAACAATTTATGCACTTGCCAAATTAAAATTTAAGTATACAACCAATGAATAACGTTAGAAATAGAAAAAAAAAAGAAAAGGAAAAAATCAGCAACAAATTACATGAACCAAACAAGTTACAAAACATCTGAGCATGAAACATCTGAGTCCCTGGCTTCTTTTATTTGGCAGTAAATCATAAAATAATATCCAATCTTATCATCACGTCAAAACATACAATAAAAAGATTCCCATAATAACTACTATGTTTGACTAAAATCGCGAAAAGGTAATGTTGAGGGATTTCGATAATCGCGAACTGGTGAAGGAGCTCGATAATTTTTGCGTGCAGTAAGTTCATCGCCTGTTGTAGCTCCAACTAATCGATCATATGAACGCTTAGTTACGTCAATTAGAACATCAGATCGTATCGCACCATATGGATGCGATGGATTTGCTATAATCGGAATATATTATAAATAAATATCATATTACAGAATATTAAATAACTAACCGAATAATAAAAGTCATACATAATCAAAAATTTATAAATTAAAAGCGCTAGAAAGGATTTACAGAATTATAACTGAATAAAAACATCCTAAAAAGATTTTGTGGAGGAACTTACCAGTTTGCAATGTTTTGGGATTGGAATATTGAATTTGCGAGGGGTATTGACGATTTGCAGCTGGTGCATAAGACGCTGCTGATGCTGCATATGCCTGATATATACTTGCTTGCCGCGCTTCACCTATGATTGCAAAAAATTATTTTCAATGAAAATACACGTTGTTACCTTCTTTTTTTGTTCTTCAATTATCCACGAAACAAAAAAATGAAAAAAATCAGAAACTGTCGACACCGAAACTCTTGTCCACTTCTTCGATAACTACTGCCCGAGCATGAGAGAGAAAAAACAAAAACTATATTCTGAGAGGTATGCCAAACATTTTTCTCTAAATCTGCTAATTTTACTTTAAAAAACTAAAAAAAACTGAAATTTACCGTATGCTTGGACTTTCTGTAAAGCAGAAAGTAGTGCAGGGAAAAATGTAGGATCTTTGCTAGTCATCATTACAACAGCGAGAATAAAATCTTTCGGTGAAATTTGTGCCAGCAAACCATCTAAACGTTATAAATAACAATGTTTTCACATTTATAGTATATTTTGAAGCAAATTTAATGCAAAAAATTATATCTCACCTAACATACTACTATGTCTTACAGTATTACAGTCCTATACCTTATAATATCAAATTATTAATCAACACAGTATATTATTAATATAAGTAATCATGGTTAAATAAAAGTGCACTGCAAATCTTATTCGAAACAACATGAATAAAGCATCACTTCTGATATTTTATACAAGATTAGCTAATATAAAGAACATACCAAGTGTAGTGTCTAAATCTTGTGGTGCGATCAAGCTATTACGCTCCTCAATCAGTTGCCTTTGTTGCTCTTTAACACCTTTCTCCCATTCATTGAACTCTTCCACATATTTATTATATGTTTCCGTACCACACTGTGCTCTTAAAGTAACTGAATAAAGTATATTAATTACAACGTCACAATAACTCACATCTCTTATCCTTAACTGGATGGTAAAGTATTTTTAATATCTAACTGAAGCTATTGGATGTATAATTTATGTAAATCACTAAAGTTAAAGAAATCTTGCATCAAAATACATTCAAGAAATTAAAAAAAAAAAGAGAAAAAGCTGGTCAATTCATGAACAGTATATATAACATTGTTTCATTAATTACTTTGGTTAAAAAATGCTATAAATACTAGTATTTACATACGATTCATATTAATTTGAGAAAAAAAAAAATATATATACATATTGTTCAACTTCCATTTCTCGAACTTTTCTTTATGCTCCACATACTGTTGTTCCAGTCGTCCAAGTGCAACTGTTATATGTGTAATCTAAAATCAAGCGTAACTTTTATTTTGAATATATTAAACAAGAATATTACTGCTCTATCAAAAAGATGGATAATAATCAACAGTACAAATAGTCGCTAATTGAAATGGTTAATGAAGAAACCTTTGAAACGGTTATAATTTTGCAAAATAAGATTAGCAAAATGTACAAAAATGAAGCATAACATAAATGAAAGTAGTACCTTATCAGCCATCAGAATTTAGATAACATTTTTCGAAGGAAACATCTGAAACCTGAAAATTTAAATGCAAATCAAAATGAATACATAAACATGTTGTTTAACGATAAACACGTTCCTTTCATCACGTTAACATATTCTTCACTTCACTGCAGTTTTGCTTTTTTTTTACAATGGTTTAAGATATTTAAATACAATACAAAGTGAAAAATACACGTGACAGTATATGAAAATATATCAAAAGACGCAGATGCATCACAACGTCAAAAACGACGATATAGCTAATTTTATTGACGTTTTACGTGTATCATATGACATGTGAAACGTTAATAAATTCAACACTAACTTCCTACATGACGCAAAACCACGTAGCCGTAAACGCAACACCAATGCAACGTCAGCATGAAACCATCTGCAATGACGTTGCTGTGCTACGGATTAACAGACCAATGATGGCAAAGTAGACGCTACGTGCAACAAAAAAAAGAGATAAGTACATTCGGTTGTTAACGTCATACTACGTCATGGGTATTTAATATGACGCTAGTACAATACTATCACTGTTTTCTCTCAATTTATAATATAACTCTAATAACGTTACTAAAACACAACTTTACGTAAGTAACCAATAATTTCAAGCAGTGCCACCATTACGTTTCCTACGTTTTGCGTATTATTTCGACGTAAAGTAGTCATTATGTTATATAATTTCTATTCTTTAAATTGTCTTATTGTTTCTTAAAACATTTCACTATTCATTCACCAATAAAATATGAGCTTTTTTTTTTTATTGTAACAACGATTAATTGTAAACAATCTGTTTAATCTTTAATCTTTTCGTTTGAAATTCATATGAAAAATGCGAACAATGTCGTGAAAGTTTTGAAGATTTAATTATTATTTTTTAGAAAAGGTTGTTGATTTCGGAGAGATTCGTTGGATATAGGTGTAAATGTGTGGGTAACAGAGGAAAATAATAATTCCTTTATTAATAGAAGCAATAGTACAATAACTTGATAGAGAATTGAAGTTGAACTCTCTTCGTTTCTGATAAAAACAAGCAATGCTCCCTTTCAATAAGGGTAACTATTTTATATATTTAGTTCTCTATCTTCGACAATAACCTGTTTAACTGTTGATCTCACGATTTGTTTGTTTCCATGAAAGTTGAAGAAATAATTTGAGTGTAATCACTGAGGGAACTAAAATCCTAAAGGTCATAATGTGAAGCAATAAATTGTAAGATAGTTCTCTTAATGATGTTCTTTTCATTTCATGGTTTAAGTATTATACGAATTATATCCAATTCATAAATCCAATTGATACCATGAAAAATTGCCTTAGAATTAATCTATTCGTAATCGGGTAATCTTTCATTGAATTCTAGATCATTCGAAATAAATTCTGTAATATTCATGCCTTCTCTTTCAAAGATAAGTTTTGTTTGTTCGTTTTTTAATAAGGCATCCTCTGTACACTTCGCAGATAAAATTATGTTATCAACATAAATATTTTTATATAATTTTTCGTAGTTATAATTGTTTGCGATATTATTATTCTATTTTGGTGAATTGAAAAGTTCTCCATTTTATAGATTTCTTCTTTTGCTGCCTTCCTGTTTGGATGTGTTGTTTTGTTTGCATATGTTGAGAATTTTTTGTGACATTTTGTGAAATGTTTTGCAGTAGAAACATTTTACCTTTCTGCTGCCATCTTTACTCTGATGAGTTCATTTCATGCAAATAGTAAGTACATCTCTTCATTTCTTTTGGTCGAGAATCCAATTGAGTCGAGAATCTATTGAGGAATAGTTTGACATTCGCTGTCCCAATTTCTCATCATTATTGTGATTGGTCGTCAATGCAGAAGTTTCATCATGATTTCTTGGATTCTTTTTATTGTGTGAGGTGATTTTCCTTTCTGTAAGAGTAATTGAGAACTCATTTCTTGCTTGTTCGTTCACGTTGAACCCGTCTCAGCCCTATCAAGTACCTCACGCCGTGGTGTCAGCCGGTCCAACGCACATTCCCTCGTACGTTGAATCCACTTCACAATGTCCAGTACACGAAAAAACGACACAGCAAACATCACCTCATAAACATACTTTAAGTTTTGAAGGAATTTCTTTAATTTCATTGTTGATCATGGATTATTGACCTTTTTTTGATGACACACTTTGTCGAGTATCTATCCATTGTATCTTCAATACTGGAATATTCGACGTTCTTTCTTAGCATTTCTAATTGTCGAAAAATTCTTTCCATTCTTTCAGCATTTTTTGATCAATTCCTTGTCGTTTCGTTTGATTCACCGTAGTTCATTTACAGTAATTTGATTATTGTCAACGAGTTTCCATATTTTTCGGTCAATATTTGACGCATAATTTCATAATTTTGTAGGATAACATTAAAGCCTCTTACTGATTCTAATGTTGCACCCTTTAAGTAGGAAATTAAATAATTCATTTTTTGGATTTGGGGTATATCCTGAGAATGTACAGCTGCATTGAATCCACTGCAAATACAGTTGCACTGAATCTCTCTCCATCGAAAGTAGGAAGGAATAGTTGACAAAAGATTGATATTGCAATAGGAATTTGACGTTGTCGACCCATTTATTAGTGGTTTTTTTGTTTGATTTCATTATTAATTTCCCTCTTGTACATAGTCAACATGATGACTGCTTCGTTTGCTTTGTGTTTTAGAATGAAAATATTTTGTCCCTCATCTTCCTTTTCCGTTCTGGATTTTTGGACACATTCTATCCACTTCTTATTTAACGCCTCCATAGAGTCAATGCACATTTGCAATCGAAGAATTTTTTCGTCTATGAATTGATCTTTGGTTTCGTTAATTTGGAGTCGTTCGTAGTTTGGTAAGGTTGGGTGTGGCGATTGGATATATTCATAGTTTTTACCTCATTCAGTAATCTTTCTAAACGGTCCTTTACAGTTCTGACTTTTATTAATAGTAAAGGCTATTGTAATATTTGTCATGGAAGTTTTGAAGATTTAATTATTATTTTTGGGAGAGGTTGTTGATTCCGGGGAGATCCGTTAGAGGCAGATGTAAATATGTGGGTAACAGAGGAATATAATAATTCCTTTATTAATAGAAGCAATAGTACAATAACTTGATAGAGAACAATTGAAATTGAACTCTCCTATTTCTTGGAAAAAAATACACAATGGCCCTCTTTCAACAAGTGACCTCTTTATGTAGCAAGCAATAACAAAGTAAAAAAAGGTTAATCCCTGCCGAAAGAGTAATAAGGTGTTGACCTGGTTTATAAGCAAATCTATTTAATAGTTGACAAGTCGCAATGGATATCGGTTAAGCAAAAGTTATTAACCTCATAGATTTAAGGGTAATTTACAATTAGTGGCGACACAACAATGAGGTCAACTAAATGAGGAACTGATATCGTGTAAATATGATATAAAAGATTTACAATCTAAGCATAAGATTTGAAACAAAAGGTTCAAGATATAAACATTACTTGCAAAATTCCATATAACATATTTTTTACTCATATTTTCAACTCTCATATAGCAGTTTAGAGTTTTGCGATATAAAATTCTCGACAACAGTAAATGGTTGCAATGATTGAAATCCTACCATATGCTATGCTTATCAGTGGTGCCATTAGTTTTATAATACTTATCTCAGGATTTAAAGCAGCTTATGGACGATATTCTGGACAGTCCCATATACTGGTCACTTCTTTATCATTATAGCATTACTAATATTATCATATTATTATCATTGTTATCATTATTGTTATTGTTAATTATTATTATTATTTATTGTTGTCATCATTAATTATTATTTATTTCATTATCAATTGTTATTATTTATCATTACTATCATTACTATTAATTATATTATTAATGATAATACATTTTTGATATACATTTTTAGATACCATTAATACCAGCTAAATGGGCTTGGTTTATACAAGAATTGCCTTCATTATGCATTCCCCTTTATTACCTTATTATCGGCATTATTGATTTGCCTCTTATCAATGCATTTATCCTTATCTTATTCTGTTTACATTATATTAATAGGTACTTCTTTTTTCCTTTTCCTTTTTCTTTGTTTTATTCTTTCCAAGAGAAGCAATATTATTTGCTTCGTTCCTTTATAACAAAAAACTAAAAATTCTATTTTGATTATTTTGTACATTTTAAATAAATATTTCTTATGTTTATTTTATGCTAAATTACTTTCAGGACACTTATTTATCCATTCTTGATTAAACAAGGTACAGGAACACCTGCGCATATCTTCCTACTTTGTCTTCTATTTTGTACAGTTAATGGTTATATGCAAGGCAAATGGCATTCTTGTAATAATGTTGTTTACAACGAATCACCGATGAACACTTTATTTTGTTTCATTGGTAATTAAGCATTTATATTTTTTTTTTTTTATTAATCCCAACATTTCTAATTAAGCTTAGATAATTATACCTATTATAGTGAAGAAATAATTAAAATTTTCTTCTAAGAATGATATTTTTGCATGTATTTTAGCTCTTTTTGTAAATATTAATGTAGTGTTTGGTATATTTCATAAACACTATTAAATTTTCCATAATAGGTACATCGACATTTATTATTGGAATGATAATTAATATTACATCCGATTCAATACTACGAAATTTACGAAAAGATGGAAAATCAAATTATAAGATACCTTACGGTGGTTTATTCGAATATATCTCGGGAGCAAATTTTTTTGGAGAATGTATCGAATGGATTGGTTATGCGTTATTAGCACGCACACCACCCGCTTTTGCATTCGCATTTTCCACATTATGCAACCTTGCACCACGCGCATATCATCATCATAGGTGATTGTTTCTTTCTTTTTTCAGCCGAAAAATTTCAGTTTGTTAAGAGAGAATGTAAAGATGGATTATGAATTAGTAAAACTTTTCTTCAGAGAATATATTATACAACTTCGTTTATTTCAGGTGGTACCATGAAAAGTTTGACAATTATCCGAAGGATCGTAAAGCTTTCATACCATTTGTTATTTAGATAATTTAAGTGAAATTTGATACAACAGAAAAATGGAAATTACTTCAGATGACATTTATAATGCCAAATGATATTTAGAATGTAATACCACACAGTAAGTGAAATATTTGAAAAGATATGCTGAGCATCGAATTAATTTCTGAAAAGACACATAGTATCAATTACACTTAGAAGAAAAAAGTTACAAACACAAAAAAAGTTCGAAATATGATTATGCTCACTCGTACATTTTACAGTAATGACATAGAACTAATAGTCAAATTTTGAAGAAATTGACATCCTGTCACTGTTCTTACTACTATAAAGTACTTTTACACATTATAAAAAAATATATTTTATTGTAAAATAATAAAAAAACAGCGAACTCTAGATTAAAACATTATCGGTATGAAAATGCTTGAATATTAGTGCTTATAACAATTTGTTACATTTCGTCTTACAAATTGTCAAAATAGACCTCAAAGTTTTAATATATTTAACACAGAAAAGCAGTAATAAAGTCATAAAAAAAATCTGTGAAATATAACTTCAATTAAAAGAAACATTATATAATTAATGAGCAATATGACATGTAATAACTATAAATTTCCAAAACAATATGTAATTCCAACCTTCACTCACTCACTGTAGTACGAAAGCTAAAGTGCTGCATCAAATTACTTTGAAGTATTTTAATCATATTTAATTTTCATTAAAATATTTCGGCAGCAAAAAATTGAAATGGTGAAGAATTGGCAGATATAGAGATTTATTTACCGAGAATGGAAAATTCTAGAAAGTATACCGCTCTTCTTGCTATTTTTTTTCGATTCCTTCACCATTTGCATAGCTTCATTCTCTGCTTTCTCAGCTTCCAGTACAATCTTAAAACAAAAAAATAGATATGCTGATTTAATAAAATGGGAAAATATGAACCTAAGGTTTCATGCATTACTTAAACCAATCACAAATATATTCAAAGTATCGGATACAACAATTTTAACTGTTGGAAATTGAATATATCTCATTTCTTGCATCTTTTTTTCTTCTATGTAATGATGCATCACAAAAATAATTGATATATCCAATAAGTAAACAAGAAAGACTACAATTCATTGATAAGAAAGGTAGCATTTACTCTTTGCAGTTCTTCACAATCGATTTCGCTTTTATCGTCTGAATTTTCACTTTTGAAACTGGACTCAGAAGAACTCAGAACGTCGTGGTTCAGTCTTCTGTCCCAGAATTTGCTCAGTTCATCACTTATTTTTTCCGATTTTTGATTACTTTGGTTAGCTAAAATGATGGTTTCGTAAGTAATCAAAAGTAAATTTTATTTCAATAATGCAATGACACATTCGTACAAATGATTCAACATCTAAAAGCAGGATAAAGGGGAATTACATAACTGTACTGTTTGCCTGATCAAGTAGTTTATGTTAAAGTTTGAAATTCCATTAAATTAAATGTGTGTATTTATAATAATATATTTATATTTTACTCATATTTTGTAGAATAGAATCTTTTCATACTTAATTTCATTAGTTCCTTAATTTCATTGTCCATCGCATGATTATCATTACTTATGCCTGTCAATTTAGATGCCTCTACACTTTGTTGTTTGGCCAATTTCATCGTTCGTTGTATCTCTTTCAAATTTCGAATCGTGTCTTGACCCATTATATTTGTATCTGATATGAATAGCTCTCCATTCAACTCTTAAAATCATCAAATTCAATGACTGTTCAATTAATGACAATTTTTTATCAAAATTAAGATACTCAGCGTTTTTTTTCTCTTTTTTTTTCCACAGGTTTTTTCTTCAGGTAAAATAATCATGAAATGCGTAATCTTTCTAGAAGGCAGAAATAAAATGAAATTCCTCTGTAAAAAGAGTCCTTTTTTTTGCTATTGATCAAATAAAGATTTGTAGCGAATCATTTTTTCCTAATGTTCGAAAAACGAATTCTAATCTAGAACAAGAAAATACCAACTAATTACTTGATCGAGAATTTCGTACTTCTGTAAAGTAACTACTTCACGAATTAAATATTGGATGACAATACAATCATTATAAAAGAAAGATGAGAATAAATTTTCTGTTTCAGTAAATAAAGTAAAACTGATAATTTTACAAAGAGGGATACCATCTGGAACAGAGGCATTATTTTTGCACATCTTAATGAATTCAGCAGGATCAATATCATGTTTGTCTTCTGATTTCCTAGAAGCATCCCATTTTGTCTCTAACATAGCTTCATCTCTTGCTCGTTTCATCAGTTTATCAACCGTTTCTTCTTCAACTTTATTTCCATTTATAATAGCAGACTGAAAAATAACTAATATTACAACAAAAAATGAAATTGTTTTACTTCATAATTTAATGTACTAAAATGGCAACAGTAATATACATATAATCCTGAAATTGAACTGAAATCACGAACTAATGCTATGATAAAATAAAATAATTGTCAGGTATACCCTCGGATATCTGATATTCTCCAAAGGCATATCATAAAGTTTTGCCAGTCGTTTTTCTATGTCACTCACTGAAGGCATATCTTGACCTTAAAATAAAGGCATTTTATAAAATCTACAGAAATAAAATAATCATTTATTCTGATCGATACAAAAGGAAAAAAAAAGACTATGCAATAACATTGAATTTCCTCATCTTCTCACGAAATGCAAATAAAATGAAATAGATAAAAAAAATAAAATAAAATAAAGGCACTAATTAACTAATTACTCCAAATAAATCTCTTGCCGAAAATCTTACCGATGTATAAAGATTTGTCAAAAAAAAAGAGAGAAAAAAAAACAACCCAAATTAAAATTTAAATGTAGATGCTTACTTCCACCATTCATTGTTAGCATTTTTGCCCGTTCCTCCAACGATGATAATGTTTCCATTTGATTTTCATCCTTATCCATGTTTAAATTTGTCAATCTTTGTTGTAAAATTTCATCTTTTTCCTCCATTTGATGACTTGAATATGTTGAAGGAGAAAAACGTCGTAATAAGCTATGCGTATACTTTTGTCGCATCGATGGAGGTGGCAAATTATCATCAATCCACCATTTCTTATCACTCATTAAAGAACTGTAACACAGCGATATAATATTAAGGACAAAAAAAAAAGTAGCCTGAAAATATTACATGTTAACATGAAACAGCATAAAATGCAAATATGCTAATTTGCTAAGTGAAATGTGACATTAGCGCAAATGTAACGTATAAATGAATTGCTGATAAGAAGCATAAGTTGATATGATATCTGAGCAGCATAATTTTAATATGATTGTTTGAATATGATTTTTCAATCTGTAACAGTAATGATAAAATTAAGTAAGCAAGTTTTTATTGTATTCAAGAAATACAACAAAAATGATGTAATCATATAATATCAAGCTACGAAAATTAGCTTACGTGACGTGTATCAAACGTAAAGAATCACAAATCTCAATTTATGCTTATCAAAAATTATTAGCTGGCAGAACTTCTACATCCATTTTCTCTCACATTAATTGAATTTCAATTTAACTCTTTGACACCTGAACAACATCTTTTAACGAATAAACTTTATTAATACCTCTATTGCCACATAAGAAAAGTTACACCTTCTTTCTTCCTCTTTTTGTCCACTTTAGTCAATCTTTGCAACAAATCCAAGTAATGTAATCAATTGGCTAAATTTTAATCTTCCAAAATCTTGTTTAATTTGTATTAAACATAAGCCAAACTACTGATCTTTAAGTCAACTTCATGCTGGAATAATGTTCATCATCTAATATACAAATTACCTAATTATAATTAATTATTAAATAAGACTGCAACTGAAATTTCAGTCTTCATCAACAGAAGCATGCATACCTTTGTTGCTATAAATAGTGAATTGGTTTTTCAGTTCAAAAATGATTTGTTATAAAGAATTTTATAAAATACAAACTTTTTCGCTATATTACATTGCATTAAAAATTTCGCTACATTATAGGAAACATTTGAAGAATAAGTGTGTGTTTAATTCCACTCTTTTTTTTCTCTAAATTAGAGATTGAGTGTAGCTAAGAAATGCATAAATAAGTGAAATAATAATAATTATAATAATAATAATAATAATAATAATAATAATAATAAAGTCTACTTCGATCTAATGATGACTAAAAGACCTAATGACAACTCCAATTTCATTTTAAAACATATTTGCTACATAATACTATTCAAATATGAGCAGAAAGGAAAACCGGAGCCCTTCCTTCACGTTTAGATTAACTTTTTTTACGATCACTTCATTGCAATATCGAAAAGATGAAGGCATATAAATGGATTTCGTTGGACATTGAAAAATCGTTTTCATGAGAAATATTAACTTTTCATTTAAAGAAAATGATTGCACATCTCACAATTGCAAATAATATTTATTCTCTAAACTTCAACAATTCAAAAACCAAAGTCATACAAACACTGTTCAACGACAGCACGATCAGCACCTTTTATTCGAATGAATCCTTTCAGTTCATCAACATGTGTTGCAATCGGATGATGCAAATATTCTTCCAAATATTCTCGCATCTTTTTTTCACATTCCTTAATACAAATCTTTTTAGATGTAAGAGAATGATTAATTTTCTGGAAATTTCACAAAAGTCTGTTTTATTGGAAATGTTACAGAACAAAAAATGACGTATATTACAATGCATATGATTGATATCCTACAGAAATTTTTTTCGAGAGTTACTTATTAGTTGATTTTTCTAAAAAAAAAAAAAAAAAAATGAAATCACTTAGATCTAAATATTTGATTCAAATCTAACTAAACCAACCAATTTCAAATATCATAACTAAAGAAATTTATTCAATGTAAAAAAACTGATTCATATTGTTATGCAGAAAAGTTTTTCAACTGACAGTAAACATAAATAGGATGTAATAACTATAAATTATTAGAAATGAAACGAAAAAGAAAAGAAGAACATACGAATATATCGCCATGAATTCTTTTCACCAGTACCAATTCAACATATTCAAACTCTAATGTCTTTGGATCTAATTGATCTCTCCTCGTTTCCAAATAAAGTGGAAACAAATGATCACGATTTCGCTCTACGTAAAATGTTAGATCTGGTCGAGCTGGAAATCAATTATTAGGTAAAACTGATTTCCTAAAATTGCCACCAAGAAAAGAAAAAAGAAAAATCAAGAAAAAATCATACGTTTTGGTGGTCTCCATCCACTAGGTGTTGGATATGTATCATGGTTCGGCACATCAGGTATCAATTTCTTTGGCATAAGCCTTTCTACATACTTCCAATCAACTGATATCTCAACTGCTTTACTTCGCGTATGCTCTAAAATAACTCTCTGTGCATTTAATTTATGATCAAGCAAAAATATGTTAAATTTTATGATTGATGATACAAAAAAAAAGTGAAGTAACAAAATAAACTAAAAAAAATCTCAGAATTTATTAGCTAAAAGAATTTTAAACTTAAATGAAAAAGAAAATTTATCATAATAAAGAATGACAACAAATGTTCGTATCCTCAAACTGATAAAACAAATGATATAAATAAAACAAAATGATATTCTCAAGGTAAAACGTTAATTCACAACAAAAATTTATACCTGTTTTTGATATAGCAGCTTGCCATGGATCATCCCAAACTTCACCACTTGATGTTGTGGCATTTTTTTTTCGACAAGGATATTTTGTTAACACAGCATTTCTGATTCGTTTCAAAGAATGTCGTAACATAAAACTTTCTTAAATCTTCATGTGAAATTGAGAACATCCTTGCTACATTGAAAGCTTACATTTAAATCTTTTCTATTCTCCAACTTTTTTTAATGTTAACACAATGAATTCCTTTAATATATTAAACATCCTAAGAATTTTTGCTACTCATTACAACTGAGCAGGAGTTAAAAAAAAAATACATTTACAAAAAGCAGAAATATAGAATTTCAGACGATTCAAATATGAGAAAAACTTTTATAAGATATTAAACAAAGCTATGCAATTTACATCATAAATTTACACCATAAAGATCAAAGTATCGAGTGCATTATGGGATTTAATTACAGTACCATATTTAATTAATCACAGAAATGATGGATAAATATACTGATTTGAACAAATGATTATTTAAAATTACGGTTATATTTTTCAATGTATTAAACGTGAATATATCAAAAACTATTATTACGAAAACTGATAACAAGCATCAAAATTCTACCAAGAGCAAAAATAAAATATCGGAGCATAAACTAAATCACATTCCTCAAAATAATCTGTAAAAAATTGCATTTACAAGCTCTTTACATTTTTTTTTTTTTAATATGATGCTAATTGAACTTTTATAAAGTATTTTATTTATCTAAAAAATTAATAAATCATTATATTTCCACAAAATTAATCAAGTTTGATGAGCTAAGATGGCCTGATTATTTGATATATGTAAAGATGTGAAAGATACTGTAGATGCTGATGATGACGTCAAATCCATACTTGATTCAGAATCAGAGCTCTCACTGAACGTTATGAGATGACGTCGAGCTATAGCAGCATTTCTGCGTGCTATAACTGAGCATAATGCTCTAACACGTCCATTTCGTTGATATTCAAACCATGATTGTGTTTGTTCTCTGAAATTAACTTTAATACTAAAGAAATATTAAAATCTACACGACTAAAAAACTTATTTCCATTTATTACATATATCAATTTGTAATATATTTTTACTTCAACAACTTATAGATGTATAAGAAATAAAAATAGATAATTGTATGAAAAATAAAAAGAAAAATAAAACTTAAGTTTCAAAGCAATTTAATAAAACAATGCTGTGAAGTTATTTATAAATCCAAGAGTTATACGTAACTACAGCGACAAAGTAATAACTTATTAATGTAATATTAGTTGTATTAGAAAATGTATTGTACAAAATTATAGAGTTTATTTGACAAACTATAATTTAATAATTTTTTTTTTTTTTTTGATGCATTCAACATGGCTAAAAATATTGAAGAATAATTTACTGCGCGGATTGTGTAGTCAATTCTTTTTTGTCAGCTACATCTTTATATGCAGTTTGACTTGCCAATTCCACGCCTGTCCTTTCTGTTATTGCTGCAATTTTGCTGAACATAGTATTCATCAGTGTAGCAAATTCGGATGCAGTCTGAAATAATCTAATTATCTAAACAAAACATCCGGAATATAAGTATTTATGCTGTCACAGACATAGATCAATTCTTAAGTCTTCTGATTTCATTCACCTTACTACTCCACTAATAACATATGATGAAAAAAAATTGATATTGGACAATTAATAACAGAAATATTAATGACAAAAAAAAATCTCGTCATCATTCAGTCATTTACATTTGTTTGGAGATCAAAATTTTAACTGGAAAAAGGGTCAATATAAGATTTAATATTACTGTTATGATTTAATCAATATTACTATTCTACAAATAATTTACTGATGAAAAAAAAAAAATAATATGACAGCACAATACTGTCCTATAATGTCCACTTCATAAAAGTCAGAATAATACAACTTGAAAAGAGAACATATAAGATTCAATACTCAAACATAAAAGGTACGAATGTCAGACAATTCTCCATCTTTATGCCTAATAGTTGAGTATTATAGCTTGATTTTACGTCTTTTTTAAACCGAATTACAGTGAAAAAACCAATATTTCAAATATACTAAGCAAATTATTTATCTTTTTAAAATATTTCTTTATTAATTGTTCCTATATATACTCTGAATAACATCAAGCAACAAACTTGCGTGTAAATTTCACGCAATCGTCGAGCGTGTTCTAATTTCATATCAATATCGTTTTTTGATATAAATTCATCATTATTCAATGATATTTCTAATGCTTGAAACTGTGCACGCTGCTCCTCCAATAACTGAAA